GCAATCAAGTCAGCTTTCAGATAGGTTTACTTTTACCTTCAATAAGCGCCGAGTACAAACCCGAATGCCAAGTGCACAAAAAAGAAGCAGAAGGTGAGCATAAGTTGCAAGAAAAGCCAAATGTAAAAAAGAGAACAAAAAAGAAAGCGAACAAAATGGGAAGAAAAACGAGAGCACGCGCCGCTCTTCACATTTTCCTCAGTTAACAGTTAAAAAGTTTGTGTATTACGTGCAAAATGAGCGCACGCTTAAATTTATTTGCATGCGAATGCAGAAGAGAGACGAGCCAAATGGCTAGAACTACCAGAAGCAGCAGCAGTGGCAGCAGGCGAGGGTTAAGAAAAGCTATGCAAAGTGTAGAGGCCAACAAAATAAAGAAAAGTAAATAAACAACAAATACGCAAATGCCATTTCTGTTTTTTCCCCATTGTGTTTGCAATTTCGACTTGTATTCTGACCCATATTTCATTGCACTCGAGATAAAAGGCGAAGAAGTCGTCCAAAAAATGAAGAAGACGCAAGACATGTGCTGATAATGATCACAACAACAACAGCTATAATAACAACAGCAAAGCGCGACTTCATCATTCCCAACATCATCATCATCATCATCATCATCATTAGCAACACATCATCATTTGCCATCGATGTCTCGTTTCGTATCATCTCATCTCGTTTCGGCCCATTTCACCAAGACCCACATCTCGCATTCTCTCTCTATCTCTCTCTCACTCTGTCTCTCTCGCATAACGTATACGCTGCGTTGTCTGCCCGTAATTTTGTGCTACAGCACAAATGTGTGCTGTCGGACCAGGCCTCTGCCTATACCATGTTTATACAAATGTATGTATGTATATATATATGTGTGTGTGGGTTGTTTGAACTGTTCCTGGGGGTTACTATAACAAATCTATGTGGCTTGTAACGCAGCTGAGTAAATAGAATTCTAATGTCACACCATTCAATGTGAGTCTATAAGCGAGTGTGTGTGTGTGCCTGTGTGTGTGAGTGCGTGTGTGTCTGTTTATCTTTAAAAGACAAATTAAGAAAACTCTTGTTATTTTCAATTGAAATTGAATGTCTACAACGTTGATTATTTACAAAAAAAAAAGGTATTTAAAAACTTTATAAAAAATTTTAAAATATTAAAAAAATAAATAAATAAATAATTATAAAATTTACACTTTCATAGTAAACAACAACTTTAATTTTTAGATATTCCAAAAAATCAAAATTAGGATTTTTTCTGTTTTGCTAATATTTCCTCTTTCACTCTAGGTATATACGAAAGATTACTCTAAAAAAATGTTTTAAAATACAAATTCGACTTACGATATAGGTTATGTGATTGTAATTAATTTTATTTATTTATACTTTGAATTGTATAGATTTTCTATTTTTATAACATATTTAAATAATATGTAAATATTTTAACATTTTGCCATGCATTCTTTTTCTGCCTACTCTACTTTATGCGTGTATGTGAATATGTACATATATGTTTGTATGTGTGTGTGCTTGGTGTGTATCTGTCTGTCGAAACAACATATTTCATGGCTTAGGTAGATATTTTTTAGCTAGTCAGCGCAAAACGTAACGAAAAATAAAATAAATGAATATGCGCCACGCACAGGCATCCAAAAAACACACGCACACATACACAAACACACACACGCTTTCACATATATATATACAGCATCCTGTCAGCCATTTTTTTTTTTTTTGTCCTTTGTGGCACTGGCATAGCTGAGCGTGTGCACTGCATTTGTTTTACATTTTATTATGCTACTTTAAAATGCCAARCAACAACTGGAAACAGCAACAACAACAACAAACATAACTTGAAAAAGAAAATGGAAAATGGCACATTTTCTTGTAGGTATCTTTTAATTCCTTATTTTGAGCTCTGCAAAACTTTTTGAAGGGCAACTGTCAGAAAATTTGGTAGAAAGTCGAGAATCTTTTCTTCATAATTGAATTGAATCGAATTAATATTGTCGCAATGTCACGTCAATACTTTTCATTTTCGTTGGCAGATTGCAAAGTTGGCCAAATATATATTTGGGTCAGAGCGCCTGTCAAATGGCTTAGGTCTCTCGCTTGGATTGGCCAGCAAACTTTCGATAATAAAAATCGAGTCTTTTCGCTGAGACATTTACGGGCATTTCGCATGCTTCTCTTATTTTTTCGGGTAATTTCCCTTTTGGAAAATATACACAAAAATAATAAAATTTATAATAGTAATAAATTAAATTAAATTAGAATA